TGAAACAATAAAAATTCTCACGACGTTTCGACCATAACACAAACGGTCATCATCACAAACGGTCACCTGATGATGACCGTTTATGTTATGGTCGAAACGTCGTGAGAATTTTTTATTGTTTTATATGTATTTTATTATTTTAATTGTTTCCCTTCAACGTGACTTTACCGAAATAGCTAAGACTATGAATTACTGCAGTCACGAAAGCTTCAAATCAAAAATCGCGTGGTTTGTTTTTTTGTTTTCTATCAAGTCGGTCTTGATTTATTTTTGTTCTTAGATAATTGCAGTGCCCTTTGTTTAGTTTTGTTGGTAGCGAAGAATGTCCATGCGAATGCCCCTTTCGCCGCTTGTTTTGTCTAAAGCATCGTCCTTGATGCTCCTGCACACGCTTAGCTGTAGGGTTTCCCACTCGTTGTTTACGTATTTACAAAATGTGAAACAAACAAGCAAATCCCACTGTGTTCTCAATTGCTCTGAACTAAACTAGATATATATATTTTTTTACCAGGTAAGGACCACTGAGCTATATAACTCTTCTAGATTTGAAGCTTTCGTGACTGCAAGGATCCATACTCTTTGGTTCTATTCGGTAAAGTCACGTAGGTAAAAATAAAATGACAAAAAAATCACGACGTTTTTTTTGTTTCCTCCCACACAGCTTAAAGGACGCGACCTGGGCTTGGCTGTCTTCACTCCAACGCTGTCCTCTGGACAGTCCGGTCCCTTCACCTGATGAAGGCCACTTGTGTTGTGGCCGAAACGTCGTGATTTTCGTTATTTTATTTTTACCTACGTGACTTTACCGAATAGAACCAAAGAGTATATAACTCTTTTTGAGATGCGACTTGGCCAAAAATGATAGCTCAAACCAAGCGGCTTATTACGTCGATATTTCTAACAGCCAAATGTTCTAAACGCGCGATTCTAAATATGGTGGAGAAAAACCGGAGGCCCCGGAGACAAATCCACGTGAACACGGGGAGAGAGAGAGACGCGCAAGACTCCAAATATACAGCAGCAGGCGTCAGGGTCGGGATCGAAACACACGGCCCTCCTCGCAAACCGGGCGAAGTAGTTCACATCTCCTAGCCACCGCGGCGATCCTCATCTTCACCAGGAGCCATTGTCTATCCACTGCTGGATGAAGCCTTCCAGACGCCGGTGGCCGCCGCCCCCGGCGTCACGCAAGATCCGTCCCCGCTGATCTCGTCCCTCCATCTCCCCGGTCCGGTCATCCTGCCGGCCGCGTGCATTGTCGTTGGTTGCCATTCATTGACAATGTGGTTAGTTTCGCCCACCGGCAACTCAACCATTCTCGCGGTCACGTCCAGCTCGAAGCGATATCTCCACATAAACAATGCGATATCTCCACGTAACCAATGCGATATCTCCACGTTATGAATGTGATACATCCACGTTGCATTCGCTCCCCAAATCGATGCTGTTCTCCTCTTCCTGTCTCTCAGTGTGATTTCAAGTGCGCATCTTCCGTCTGTGCTCCTTGAGCGTTGTTTTTTTCTTTCTTTCTACGTCAATGCCCACGTCTCTGATCCGTATGTCACAGCGGACAATTTCGTGACAATTTAAAGCAACTCTCTCTTGAACTCACTCCTGTCCACCGTAATCCTTTTGATTCAGTTCCACCTTTAATAGTCGGCCCTGGTATGCAGTTTGGCTCTGTTGTGTTTGCAAGGAATCTCCCCTCCAACACTGATTTATCTTCATTTCATCTTCATCGCCTTCTTTGTGAACTTAGCTAAGAATTGAACTTAGGTTTTTTTCTAGCTTAGCTGGGTAATGTTGCTGATTTAAAGGGGGTAGTTTGAGGACGTCTACTGAAGTATATAAATCAAATATTCAGTCGTACACGTTCAAGGGTTTTAACGGGAAGACAGGACAGCAATCGAGCACAGTTCATTTCAATAAGTAGGCAATGTATAGTGTGATTGATCTGAATACCAAACAAAAGCCTTTTCTTCCAGACCACAGGCTGGCCTTCAATTAAATAAACATTATTTCAATAAAAAGTTATTCTTTAATTTCAAACAATTGTTCGTTCAAGAAAAAAAAATGATTAAAAGTATTCTATTGACATCACCTCTGATTCCATTGGCTGTTAATGCAGTAATCATTAACCAATTTCCATGAGTTATCTGAAACGTTGATATTTCAGCCACGTTCTGGAGGTTTGTTAGATTAGGATTTACTTTTGTTCAACCCTTTCTTAATCCACTGCTGGACGAAGGCCATCGCATGCCGCGTGGGTTACGGGAGTTTGTTTTACCGGACCTACCGGCGCTGTTTATTTCATGTTCTGTGGTCGCTTTAAGCTCTTTTCTTTAAATTGTATCACATTTTGTGCAACATTTTCAATTGTCGTTATCCGCCCAAAACAGCGACCTTCCTTTCCAAAAAATACATTATAATTCTTGATTGTTCGATATTTGCATTAAATAACAGTATTGTTAAAGTTAGTCGAGATTTGTTACATTAATAATATAAAACATATATGTTACGTTTACTTAAAATGTCTCTATGTTACCCCACAAGAAGCTCCACAGTCTTAAAATATATATATGTGTTGTGAAAAAGGGTCATTGCCTCAAACGTCGCCTATTATACATATTTTTGCTTGAAGGCCACAGAGTCATTGACGATTGTGTTGGATGTTTTTATATTCACCGCCAATGCAGCAGCAACGTCACCTACATCATTCGATTGATGCAATCCAGGTTGCGAAAGAGTCGAGGATGTGCCACGTGTCACAATGAGGTTAAATTCACCTCATGGTTAAATTAAGGAGACCGACTGACCTACACCCAGTGCGGGCCAGTGAAGGGGCCATTCGGGAGATGTTTTAACATCACCCGCCACTGACATTAGCTGTGGCTGGGAATCGAACTCAGATCGGCGAGTTCATCGCGAAGTGAATGAATCAGGGTGACTTACTGCTCCCCCTGTCCGCAAGCATCCACTGCTATTAAATGTACAGACCATCGCGCTGTCGCGTGTACAAGTACGCATTCAGGAAACACTGTGAACGCTGCCGTGGTGCCACGGCTTGCATACTCCCGAGCTGAGCAGTTCGATCTTCCGGCGCGGCAGTTGAAACAGTGGGAAGGTTTATTGACTCTTCCCCCCGCCCCACCCACACACCGCCTCCATCCACCCAGCAGTGCCAAACGGTTGCGCTGCAGTTCAGTATGATCGCAGGTCGCGCGCGGTAGGGTAAAGTGTGGGGACTCCCACCTCTTCCACGATGTCTTGCCAGCAGGGAAGATCAGGCCACAACACCCTCTAGACGTGCTCTCTAGAGTTTCCTCTTGGTGGAGGTCCTTCCGTCAGCGGCACCTTTCCCTTCACCTTCGATATCATATTTAAGTTGAAATGCTTGTGAACATTTAAACAAGTCTTACATTTGCTGTTTCCTCAAAAAAACAATTCCGCCCCCCTTCCATCCGCCCACGCCCATCCACGATGGCGGAGAAAGAGAGGACTGGCTGAGTGACCTCACCGATATCCTGCCGTTAATCTTATCTCAGAGTGCAAATATAGCCGCAAACAGTAAGCGCTCAGGTCAGGCGGCGATTCATTATAAATAGCATACAAAAATGTAATATAAATATGTCAACGCGGGCTCGCATTGTGGATTGTTATACCCTGCTCAGAGCCAAGGACGGTTTCATCTCTGGCAAATACTCCGAGGTATGGCTCATGCAGTGGCACGGCACGGTGGAATAGAGGGCCCGCGTTTATTCAGCAAGGCGGTGGAATAAATCTTTGTCAATGACAGCACTGGCAAATTTCCCACGGTTTTTTTTTTCCCATTCCAAAATTTTTCGTTGTGATTTTTATTTGATTGAAAGGCAGTTTGAGGTTCTGCGTGGATTGTTACGAGTTAATTAATGATAATGATTTTCGGACGAAGACGATGATTAGGAAAGTCAGTTAGTGTTACTGATTCCATTGAAGATTAAAAATCTCGAATGGCTTTTTCAACACGTTGCCATCTCACGATCTTTTTTTTGAAACACAATTGTAATATAATTTGGCGGAAAAAACGACCAAGTAATGTGTATTTAGCATATTTTTTTTATTGAGAAAAAAATGCAAGTAGGTCAAATAGACGAATTCGTGCTGCAGGATTAAATTGTCACGATTTAAATAATCACATTGTCCAATTTCCAGTATCGGTGGAGGCCATGAATTTCGAACAACAACAATCCCATTGAGTGGCCCGTTCCAGTGAACTTTGCGCGATGGATGAGAAGTACCACACACTGGTGGCCTACGAAATAAATTAATTTAGCAATGGCTTTTACGGGGGGAGGGGGGGGGGACAGGATATCTGACGTAGAATTGGAACGGACACACTTCTATCATCTACACCCTCCCGTAGGTGGCGTCTCAGACGCAACACCGAGTCTGCGTCAGCACAAGCGGGGAGGAGGAGGAGGGGGGGGGGGATAGTTGGGCCACTCTAAGATTTATCGCGCGCCGCGAGTGCGGCCCTCCTGACGTACAGTACGTGCTGGCCAGCCATGGGACAGGAAGCGTCAGCGCAGATCCACAAACAGCCGAGTGTGGGAAGAGCTGCGAGCGAGACCCACCGCTTGATGTCAACATCCTGGTTGGATATAATCGCCTACCCCCGCCACATCCCTCCGCGTCTCTCGCCGCCCGTCCTGCAGGCACACACGCAGGGATGTCCAGCCGCCCACCGCCCCCCCCCCCCACCTCACGTTGAGCCATTGCAATGCCCCCCCCCCCCCACTTCGCTCCCGACAAATGTAGCAGCAACTCCTTGCCACATCCTCGGTCACCACCCCCAACCCACCCCTCTCCAGCCAGCCAGCCAGCCACCGACCACCACCTCCACGTCCTCCCAACAGCTTCCTCCCATGCTTTGCTGTGCTCCTGCGGGGTGGGGTGATGAGGTTGGTGGTAGTGATGGTGGAGGATGGGAGTTGAGGGGAGGAGGAGTGGTGAGGTGGGTGGGGTAGGGGGGGGAGGGAATTTGCTACCCAAACCCCCATTTTTCCTTCCACCCGATAGGAAACAGATCCTGTTTAAGCGCTGTTCGTGGGAGGCTACATATAAATAAATAAAAGTCACCGCCTTTCTATTCAGTCGCCGCGTGCGCAAATGTGCATCCACTTGGGCGGCAGGAGCCTCCTCCTCCTCCTCTCCTCGCATTGAACTGCCGTGCGCATCAGGAGTTTGAGGGAGGTTGGGAGGGGGGCGGGAGAACCATTGGCCATTAGCTGACGCGGTTACCGGGGCCAGGTGAGCTGCGAGGGAGATCCGCGCGCAAACACACACACACACACACCAAAAAAAGAGACCGCCTGGGAGCAGCGCATTGCACCGAGAGAAAAGTCCAAGTTCGGTGAAATTTCAAAAGAGCCCGAAGGCGCTGCAGCTCCTGCTGGCGGCGTCGCCCGAGCCGGAACGCGACGCGGGCATGGCCCAGCGCACATGGCCTCACCCCGCATGCAGCGAGCGTGCACCGGCCATGGCCCATCGGAGTGAAGCGCTCGGCGGAGGGCAGCGATCGACGGCGGCGGCGGCGGCGGCCTCGGCACCGGCAGCGGCGGGGCGAGCGACGTTTTGCCGTTGCCAGCGCGCACCTCAGCGATGGTTTTGAACGCCAAATTGGTGGCGCTGGCCGTGGCTGTGGCGCTGGTTTCCTTGGTCCTCAACAATGTGGCGGCGTTCACGGCCAACTGGGTCTACCAGAGTCTCGAGGAGGGTCGCCGGCGCAGCGTGGGGCTCTGGCGCATGTGCTACGCCGGAACGGAGGGGAGCGGCGGGGCGCCAGCGCAGGGCGGCGAGGCCCCCGGGGAAAGGCAGGAGCAGAGGGGGCCCAGCGTCCCGTGCGTGAACTTGGGGTGGGGGTCTGACCCTGCGGGATACCTGGAGTCGCATGCCACCGTCAAGCGTAAGGCGACTCTTTCGCACCTCCTCTTCCCGTTCACGTGGCGGCGCGTTGCTTCACTCGGACGCGCGCGGATTTCGATTGACGCGGCGGTTCCATCTCAGTAGAATTGCCGCGGAATTGGTGGCCAGTGTACGTACGTATGTGGAACTTGTTTCGCGCCGTACGTGAGCGAGACCGTTGCGAATCAGCGGTGCATTGGAGGGACAACAAACAATTCTAAAGCACGTGTGTCCAGTGGGACGTATTTCAGGTGTAATGACAATTCTGCAGGTGTGTGCGGATGAAATTCCGGCTTCCCGACGTTGTGTGTTGGATCGTACCGTCGTGTTCGCTGGCACCGTGCCCGACGTGCCCGGGAGCTTCTCCATAGGAACCTAAATTGTTGCGTTCAAATTCATTCGTGAGATTTTTTTTATGTACGCCTAAAGTAGGTTTGGCTTGGCATTTTTTTTTCTACTTGCCACGGAGCGAGCCATCAGTGTGCACGGAGTCAAAATTTCCAATCACAAAATCTTTAACTTCCGTCGACCTTTTAATTGCCGTGAGAATGTCCAAAGGGCCCTCCCCCCCCAGCTCCTGTGCCATGTGTACGTGCGTCAACGGCCTGCGTTTGCGCATGAAGTTGCATCGGTTTTGAAATAAGTGGAACCATCGTGCGCTCGTGTCGTTTGTTTAAACGCAACACTTCAAACATCACTGCGGCTCAATTTAAAGGACGCACAACTGTCCATACGTGGTGGAGGATTAGTCAAGAGCTTTTTGTGCGGCAGAAGGGATTACAACATGCCGTTAGACTCTAACCTGATCAAATAATTCATGGACGCAATTGTACTAGAAACGCAAGTTTATAGATTGTCCTATAAGAGTATCGTTAAACTGCCATGGGAAAGACACAAACTCCTATTTTTGGCGTGTGGCAGTTTGTATCTAGAGAATTCAGTTTAACGATTATTGGGACCATCTTGTGAACACAGCATACACACCAAGGTGAACATAAAGACATCCATTGCCTCTAACTTGACGAAATTGTCATCTTCGATTCAGATAAATGAGGGTGAAATGTGAATAGCAACACAATACATTTGAAAACTTCGTGAATGAGATAGTGGAATAATGATTGCGGGAAAAAACGTGTGCATCTCACACCAAATGGATTTACGGGAAATAACATTTGTATTTTTATACTAGATATGTTTCCGTGGTCAAAATATACACGTATTTTTGATGGTATGGGTATGGCATAACTTAGTCATAGAATGTGGTATTTCTGTTCTGCCAACCACTAGAATCGACATATTTTGTTGAAAGTGAGTGGGAGTTTATTGCGATTAAACGTCTCGAGGGAGTGAATTTGTTTTTTCAATTGCCCCCCCTCCTCCTCCGCCCTCCACCTCCCCTCCCCCTAAATAAAGGTCTCCAGGGAGACCTGGGTAGCAGCACCGAGTTCTGCTCATTCACTGTGACAAAAAAAAAATCCTTCATGCAAAATCATTTGCTGCAGGCAGTGTGATCACTTCAACTCTGATCGGTCATCGTTGAGATCTGAAATAGTACCTTTTGCAAACAGACGAAGAAAAACGATGTATCTATATTTTTAACAAGGTTCGTGCAAATATCATTTTGTTTCTTATAATCTTTTTTATTTATTAAGCAAGCGCCCGGTACAGAGCAAGCGCCACAGGGACCTTGCAAAGACTTAAACATTTTTAGATACAGGCTACATCAAGGATATGCAGTGGTGTGCAATTATATATATTTTTTCATGAAGTGTTACTGGAATTAAAACTTCGATTTTTAATAAAAGACGATTTGGCTGTGCATAGTATAGAAATTTGCAGGTTGATGAGAGATTGCGGTGATTTAGAGTGGACTTCATCCAGCAGTGGATTGACCACGGCTAACAATGATAGTAAAAACTTGATTTGAAGCTTTCGTGACTGCAGGAATTACTCTTTGGTTCTTTTGGTAAAGTCACGTGGAGAGAAAATAAATTAAATAATAGCATACGACGTTTGGATTGCAAGACAATCAACCATCATCAGGTAAGAATGAATGAGAAAACAAACCTATTAAATTTAGAAATATAATGCAATACAACACAGAGAGTCGGCTAACAGTCAACACCCCACCTGGTTGATTTCGTTCTTCCAAAGATTGCTAAATTTGAGAGAGAGACAAAACACAGACACGAAGGCACATAGACAGACACACAAGCAGAGAGAGACACACACACATAGTCTATGTGTGTGTGTCTCTCTCTCTGTGTGTCTCTGTGTGTGTCGCGGGTGGACGCCAAATCCTGTATTCCAAAAGAGCCAATTTAGGGTCCATCCAGGGCACCCTCTAGTGGAGGGCCTTCTACCAGCAGTGCCGTGGGGAAGACATTGAAGGGCTGCACCTTTACATTTTTATAGCACGTGGGAAGCTTTGTGAATCCCTTGCAGAATTGGCAGGTGGCTGTTGGCAGAGATGCAATTCACTCTGTGCGAAAGTTGCTCAGGAGTGAGTGTGCTTACCAATATTGCCACGTTGTAAGCCGCCTGATGTGGGGACGAAGTGAAAAACGAGGTGGCCGAGTGACTCAGTGGTTGCCTGAGCCAGCACCGCTAAGATTTTTGGGTTTGAATCTGGGCTTGTGTCGTGATTGAAAACGTAATATCGAGTAGCATGAGTTGATGGTCGCAGACAGGTCACCAATCACGAAACAGTCGCGTTGATTTTGGTTTTGCCCATCGTTTTGGGTTAAAATTCCTTCTCTAAAAATTAAACATTACCACTTCTACGGCCATGTAATGCTGCCCCCTTGGGGGAAGGGGAACAAAAGGTGAAATTTGCCTCGGGTCTGATCCCAAGGAGGACCTCAACAATAGGCGAATTATTTTGTCGCTCATGAAAAAGGAGGCGCCACTTGGCATTCTGCCCTGGGTCCTCGTTTCATGAAATGATGCCGAGAACACGACTGGAATAAAATTTGGAACAGAAAAAAACAGAGAGGAAGTGAAAATTACCAATGTGGCAGTTCTGGTTACCCAAGTTGGACGTCTGTGAAAAAGAGCATACTTGCTCATCGGATTTCTCCAGGATAAATAAAGATTCTGATAGATTCTGAAGTTAAAGGGCCAGGAGTAAGGAACCTTTTCTTACTGAGGGCTGAGTAGGGCTTTCAGATATTTTTGGTTGGCAACCACACATTAACACACACCGAGACCACGGTCACTTCTGTCACAGCAAGAGGCTCGTGCAACAACAGAAGTGACCGAGCACATTAAAATTAGAATGCGGTGTTTGGCAGGTAAAACAAAACATTCCCCCAACGTGTATGATTAGTTCGGCTAAGTGGCTTTACAGTGACGGATACATTTTGGTTAAGGGGCATTTACATTTTTAGGCAGTGGTGGTGCTCACCCTATTCTTGATAATTGTTTTTTAACCCTTTTATCTGGCAACAAGACTGACACCTTTTTTTTTACAAGGAGTCATGTTTGTATTGACCACAATACCTGCAGTCGGAATGCAAACAAAAAACACAACTCTGATAATGTATGTGGCACTGTCCTTGAAATTGATTGGTCCACACCCGAGACAGCTTTTCTTAGAGCCTAGTCTCACATGGTGTTTTTGGCGTCATCTGGTCCAGCACTATGTGAGACTAGGCTCTAAGGAAAGCTGTCTCAGGTGTGGACCAATCAATTTCAAGGACAGTGCATACATTATCAGAGTTGTTGTTTTTTGTTTGCTTTCCGACCGCAGGTATTGTGGTCAATGTAAACATGACTCCTTGTAAAAAAGGTGTCAGGTTTGTTGCCAGATAAAAGGGTAAAAAACCTATTATCATATTTTGCTACTGGCAAAGGAGGTTCCAATGGCGTCCACCCTGTTCTTTTTTATGGACCCCCTCGATGTCATGAATACAATTCGGGTGAGATGACGAGAGATATTAACAAGATATGTCGAGATGTAGTGAGGTAATATAACATATCTACCGTAGTAAGATTAAAAAAAAGAGATGCAGACAATATAGAAATGATGGCATTGCCATTGTAAATATTATTACAATAATTAGGCTTTGCATTTGAGCCGATGATTTGCTTACACATCCCTGTTTTTTCCCCCCCCCATTAATTTCAGGGCGACATTGAGCCTCCTTGCTGTGCCCCAAGCCTTCGCTCGCTCTTTCTCATTCGCAGTGCCACCACTGTCGGTAGGCCTCACGTGGGCCAGGTGTGACCCATGGGCCGAAGGGGGTATCCCCCTTGCCCCCGTGTTGCCCAGAGGGCTGAGATTTTCGTTTTTCCGCTGTCACCAAACCCCCCTCTCCCCCCCCCCCACAGTGCAATTCGACATGATGCGGGGGTGCAACCTGATTGCGAGCGCTGCCCTCTTCCTCGGCCTGCTGCTCTACGTGATCACGTGGGCCCGGTCGCCCTGCCTCAACCCCAACACCGACTGGTGGGAGGAGGCCATGGCGGGTACCTTCCAGCTGGCATGTGAGTGGCGGGCACCGCTCTGTGAACATAAAACAATGCATTCACGCTGTTGCCCTCCGCACCTTTGTTCCGCGGTTATGGAGGCGTGCGGAGGAGGAGTGATCAAATGGCTGTGGGATTTAAATAATAATAATAATGACAACAACAAGAACAACAATTTAATTTAGTGGTCTACAAGCGAGGTCACCCGGAGTGCTCTTGAGCTCGTCGCATCTCGTAATCTAAGCAGCTGGAATTTGAGTCTGGATAGCACTGGGAGGATGGGTGACCCACTGTCAATGCGCGACAGGTGCATGGGTGGTGGTCAGCAGACGACACTGCAGACACGTCCATTGTTACACTGCACCTGTGCACTCGAGAAAAGTGGAAACAAATGGCGAAATGTGCGGTGGACACCTACGGGGCTACCTGCCCATGGATCGTGATGACGACGACGACGATGATGAAGACACTAGCGCGTCCGTGCCCCCCCTGACCTTCAGCATTGTATGTGGTGAAGTATGGTGAAACACAGTAACTGCCACAACCCGCACGGCATGGGCAGCACTTGTGCGCGCGCACGCCGCGTTGGTCAATTCGGACTGCTGCAGGTTCAGAAACCACTCACCGCTGATGTTAGCCATGGCCAGGATCTAAACTCGAGTCACCGGGGTTCGTAGTGCTGTATGCTAGCCACTGCCCAACGGCTGCACCCGTACGGGATTTAGATGTTAATAAAATCACACCCACCGCAGTGGCGAGATGATTACTCCCTCGCCTGGTATGCAGCAGGTCATATTGTTCAATCCCGACCCTGACGCCTGTATAGTTGTAATTTTCGTGTTCTCCCGGTGGTCGCGTGGATTTTTCTCCGGGTCCTGCAGGGTCTTCCCTCCACATTTGGAAGCGTGCGCGAAGAGTGTTTTGCCGCTCTACATTTCCACGCGATGAGCCACTCCGTTGAGCTATCATTTGTGGCCAGGTCACATTTGAAAAAGAGCAACACAGCTCAGTGGGCCGTACCTGGTAGAATAAAGGTAAATAGTGATCGTTATCAGCGTTGTGAAATAAAACAAAGCAACCAATGTATAGATAAAACCAAGAAACAATCAATAATGTATGGCCCACACCTTCGGCATCTGTGTTCTCTCCACCACTGGTTGAAGTGCCCTTGACTAACGTTTCACGTGAGGTGCAAAACGTCGGACATCATGTACAGAGGAGCACGTGGTACAAACCCAAAAACGCATCGGAGAGCCGTGCAACACATCCGCGGGGGGAGAACAAAAAAAACACCTCCGCAGATTTCCTATCGCCTTGCTTAAGATATGCGCAGCAATGTTTTGTACGAGGTACGCGGAAAGATCAATGGTGAGTACCTACTACTGCTGCTTCCTTCACTTAAGCATCATAAATAGCCACGGGCAATCCACTGCTGGTTGAAGGGCTTCCCCCAAGCCGCCGCCGCCGCCGCCTCTCACGATCCCGCGATGTTAATAATTCCCCCAGCAGCTGCACACGAACCAATTGGATGGCTCCATCTCCTCGGTGGCCCTGCACCTCGCGTGTGCGTTCCATCCCTCGGCCGCCGCTCCGTTATTACGCTCGCTCGTCGGCCGTGGCCCCCTTCAGGCCGTGTCGTGTCCTGCCCAAGCGCGCTCTTCTCTCTGAACGTCGTTCACGAACCTGCGTCAGTTCTCCAATCCCCCCCCGCCTCCTTCTGTCTCAATGTAATTCCCAGCATGCACCTCTACGGCGCTTCTCTGCGCACTTTTTTTTTTGCTCGATGAACGACGGCCGCGCCTCGGAGCCCGTGTTGCGGCAGGCGGCACGAGCGGCCGCGTGCGTTGACCGTTACAAAGGTCACATGTCAGGCAACACGGGGACCAGCAGTTGCCAGTACCTTTACTAGAGTTGGAGGGCGGTGTGGGTGGGGTGGGGAGGGTGGGGGAGAAACCAGGCCTGTCCCTTTCCTTCTCTCCCACCAGCCCTCTCCTCTGCTTGCTCTGGGCCACTGCTGCTGCAGTTTGCAGAATAAAAAAAACGTGTAGCAAATCTGGTTCATCTGTGCGAAGGGGGTGACCTGTCCCAGGGGGGAAGGCGGCGCACGCACGCACGCACACACGCACTCGCGCGCTGACATGGATGAGCGTAAATAAAAGGCGGCTCACTCAGGAAGACACCTGGCTTTGTGCAGCTGCGCCGAAGGGCCCCCCCCCCCTCCACCCCGTGTGATTTTCTTCTTTGGCTGGTTATCGTGCAGTTAAAATTCTTCTCACTTGTTACATAACGCACATCGCACACCGAGCAAAGTGAAACGGTGTGTTTTTTTTATCGCACCAGAGCCTTCATAAAATGTACCCTACGGGCACGAGCGGGCTTTGGTAGTTTCAAATACGCGCTTGAAAAATGTTCCCCCATAGCGTGCCTTTTCATAATGCATTTCCTTTCATGTCGTTTCGAATATTTGATTGCATAATTTTGTTCGCAGTCCATGCCCTGGTGGATTTCTTTTTGTTTTTATTAGGCTGTGCCACAACATGAAAAATTGCAGAAATTCCTTTGCAAGCCTCACCAGGGCACATGTGTGGGTTATTTGCATGCCTCTCGTGTCCACCCTAGACACCAGCCTAAAAAGCAGAAAGCATTTTCATTTGAAATTCCACAGAGGCAAAACAGCAGCACGCCTCCAAGCCACCATATATTGGTCACATGATTGTATTCATTTTCAGTGGTCAACCCTATAGGAGAACTGACTAATCTTTTCCACTGGCACATCCGTGCCGTGATGGGGCCGTACCGAGCCTCCCTTTTTTTTACCACTGCAGAAGCTGAGCTGTCACGCTCGGTAAATCCACCGAGTCAGCTGGTGTTTTACCGCTTTCATATGTCAAATGACTCATTCTGTGCGTCACACGCACTAAAAGCGTCACTAGACCCGCCCCTGGCCCTGCTTGGACCAGAACCAGATTCTGGCAAAAAAATTATATTAATAGGAGCACAACATTGAAAATTTAGAGCAATTATAAATTAACCGTGTCAGTTTTCTGTATGTGTTACTCCCACCTCTTTGGTGTAGCTATCTATTATACGTCTTGGGAACTTCTTCCGCCGTTTCAATGCAATGTTTATTTGTTATGTGGAAAATCCCATTTAGCCAATTACCCAGCTAGTTTCGGTTACAACGACCTCAACAATTTTTTGAGCTGTCGTTTTGTATTTACAAGAGGTGGTCATTTTTTGAACTGACGTTTTGTATTTACAAGAGGTGGTCCTTTTTTGAGCTGCCGTTTTGAATGTGTAAGATGTGCGTGTTTGAGCTGCTGTTCTCGCTCTGGCCCCTCCCCCCCCTCCAACCGTATTTCCTATTTAAGCTTCTGTTCATACGTCCGCCCCCCCCCCCTCTCTCTCTGCCTCCCTGTCCGTCTTTCCTCCCTCCTTACCTCTTGGTGGACTTGTATATGTATTTCTACTGACCGTGTACCTCGTATTTTTCATTCTATCTATGCTGCTATGTGCAATCCAAAGGTTGAACACGAAATTTAACACTCTTCTGAAATTCGTGGTCCGCCAGGAAGTGTCTAACTGTGTTGTTGGCTTGACTGGATGTGCTTCACGTAATGTTTTTTCAGGTTTGTTACATTCTCGTCTCTCATCTTTTTTTCGTATTTACCTCCGTGATTTGTTCTTGACACCTGATTAAGATCGCTTGCGTTGTGATTGAAACGTCGTGATTGTTTTTTGTTTTAACATCATTTTATTGTATTTCTACATACGTGACTTTACCGAAAAAAACAATGAGAAATAACAGAGATTGTTCTGGTCGACAGGAGCCCAGCCATCAGCCAGCCAGGACATTCTAGACAAGATAATTTTTAATGTTAGAATTATTGTATTTTACATTTTTTTATTACTTTCTTACAGTTTTTATTTTATTAGCCTGCGATTAGAGGGCACACGCATGTCGAATGCCACCATTCAAAACTTCTGAAGAAAAGTCCACCTGGGCAGGGCCCTTCGCGGCCAGAAGGGACGACGTCTGATGGTCCAGAATAATAACGACGGCAGTGGCAGCCCAGGGATGGAACGCATCATAAAGAGGACAACCTTTTGCGGCGGAGATGGAGCGATTAAAAAAAAAAATCGGTTCGTGCGCAGGTGCTCGGTGGGTTATTGCATCGCAGCAGCATTGTGGGAGGTGGCGACCGCGGCAACTTTTGGGAGGCTTTCATCCGGCCAGGAGATCTGACCACGGCTGAAGATGATGACGACGATTCACGAACGCATACCGCCACGACGTCGAGTTTGCAGGCGCAGACGCACTACGCGTCGTTAACGATCTCGTGGCTCAGTATTTGGTGGCTGGGTTAGCGGGGCGGGTGTGGAGAGGAGGAGGAGGGAGGGGGGGGCTTTTGTGAAAGAGAAGCTTGGCTGTGCGTGGAAAGACGAATGGAGCTGCGCCGCACTCTTGCAGCCTTTGTTTGCACGGCGGCCCTCGTCCGAGGCGTCTGAATGCGGGTGGCCGTTGACTGCTAATATTAGTCCCGCTGCGCCAGTTCGCGGGAAACAGCTAAAAATACAGCGACTCGGGGGCGTCAGGATATCCTCCGCTGCCGCCACAGGATGTAACTTGCTACGGCGTGGGGGGGAGGGGGGGGTGGCGGGGAGGGAGGAGGACGCTTGGACTTGGCACTGCCGCGGAGCGCGCGGAGAAGCGGCGCACGCAAGCGCGTGCGAACAGCAGGCGCCCGCGCGCGCGTTAGCGGGAGCCGAGGCGCTCCAAAAGCAATGCCCGGCCTTTTGTTGGGGCCACGGCGCGCGCTGCGCCAGCCGCGGTTGGTCTCCAGTGCCTCCGCTGTTTGCGAGAGCTGCCAAGGAGCGCAAATGTGGTGCGGGGGATGGGAGGACGGTGTATGTGTATGTGTGGGGAGAGAGGGGGGGGGGGGTATGACTAGTGAATGACTCCCCCGGTGGTTATTGCTTAGATTAGAGATCTAAAAAACTCGTCCCACCACCAACCACCAAAGCCATCTCCAGGGTACGGCGGACCGGGGTGACAGACCGGGCCCCGCATGTTGGTGGGCCCCCGGCGCTTCGACGTCACGGTGTCTGATGCAATAGTTGCGGATTCGTTTGAAGGCATCGGGGTGGCCCACACGGTGTAGTTTGCCCCGGGCGCCGCACCCCCACCGCCCCCCCCCCTATGGATGGCTCTGACCACCCCCCCACCCCCATCCCCACCTTTGGTAAATCAGATAAATGTAACTGTATCACAGGTGCAGTTAAAGGTGCAGCCCTGCAAATTGCTTGCTCACGTCCCTGCCGGCGGAAGGGCCTTCGCCAGAGGGAGCTCGAGAGAGCCACTCTAGAGGGTATGGATGTCGAAATGCAAGAGGTGGTGGGGGGGGGGGGGGGAGTTCCCACACTTTATTCCGTCGCAGGCAACCCGTAGCCCCGACTGTGGTGTTGCGCTTATGTTTTACTGCTGGGTGGTCAGGCTGGGAGATGGAATTCGCGACCTCTGCCGTACACCACGTCGGCATCCCCCGCTGTGCTGCTCATTGTAATTACGTGGGGTGCCACGGCGGCAAAATGTTAACTACCTCGCCTGGTTTACGTGGAGGTTGTGGGTTCGATCCCGACCCTGACGCCAGCTGTATATTTGGAGTTTGCGTGTGTCTCTCTTTCCCGTGGTCGCGTGGATTCTTCTCCGGGTCCTCCGATGTTTCCCTGCACATTTAAATTCAACACGCGTTTAGAGTATGTGGCTGCTGCACATTTCCACATGACACTCCACTTCGTATCATGTGGAAAAGAGCTATGTAGCCCAGTGGGCCTTACATGGCAAATAAAAAAATAATGTGAATAGTTTTAGTTTATATTCAATTATATATCAGATTTGCAGCAATACTTAGTGGCTGCTGATTCGGTACCCAGCCTCCTGTTCGTGCGCCAGCCCATGGTAATTTGAATGTTTCACCTTCAGCACAATCAGCACTTACGTCACCTGGTGGAAGGCAAGCAGTGCGTGGGCCCCAATATACAGTGCCGTGAATTGTGTCCAAATTTGTGTGGCCATCTCTCGGCCACATCCAAAACTAAATTTCGGTGGGCGGGGGGGGGGTGGGTGGGGAGAGGTAGAGAGGGGAGGGTGCAGTCACCCACAACACGCACAGCGCCTGCGCGCCTGGATCGAGAGCGCTAAATTTAATCCCTCCGTCGTAATGGGCCCGCTGGGATGCGTAAATAACACAACAGGAAAATCGTGAATGCCCGAGCTGAAGGCATTATTCATTTATTTATTTACCCAAGGAAGTCTCCTTTTCAGAAATGTCCCGCTAAAGTTTTGCAGTTGAGTGGTCGACGTATCTATGTGCGAACGCAGTTGAGTAATTGATGGGTATAGGAATAGGGTTTACCCTTTTAACTGGCACAAAAACTGACACCTTTATTCAAGGCATCATGTTTGCAATAACCACAACACAAGCAGTCAAAATGCAAACAAAAAGACAACTCTGATAATAATATGCACTGTCCTTGAATTTGATTGGTCCACACCCGAGACGGCTTTTCTTAGAGCCTAGTCTCCATTGGTGTTGGACCAGAAGACGCCAAAAGGCGTACAACTCAAAAACAGCGCACTATCAGAGTATTGAGGGCCAGTTAAAAGGGTAAAACCTATTCCTATATCTTGTTTCTGGCAAAGGAGGTCTCATAATGTAATTTATGGGTAATTTTTCAAATTTTTACCATCGTACATTCTGCGCTTCTGCGGCCGTCTGGAACACTCTTCCTTGCGATATTAGGAAGCCACTGGAGCTAAGCACTTTTAAATAATCTAGATTGAAAACTCATTTCTTTAGAACTTCTTTTGGTGTTTTGTTGGTTGTCCTTCACTCGCACCTCCGATTACCACGGTTGGCTACGTATGGTGCGAAAAAAGTCCAACATACGTTATTATTTGTATTTTAGCAGGTAAGGCCCACTGAGCTATGTAGCTCTTTTTCAGAAGTGACCTGGCCACAAATGGTAGCTCAACGAAGTGGCTCATCACGTGGAAATGTATAGCAGCCAAATATTCTACACGCGTGTTTCTAAATGTGGAGGGAAAACACAGGAGGACCCGGAGAAAAATCCATTTTACCCCGGGGAGAGAGACACGCAAACTACAAATATACATACCTCAGGGTCGGGATCGAACCGACGTCCATCCTGTATACCAGACGAGGCCGTTAACATATCGCCACCGTGGCATCCATATACAAACATGGCCCCATTCTGTTCGAATAGAACAAATCACATGCCTGTGTTGCGTTGTATCGAATGAGGTCACGGGATCTCTAACATTCCACTGTGAAGCAGACGGTCTTCTCATTCGCGGTTAACTATTAACCAGGGCGGCCATGGGGCTCGGAACCGCGAGTCTCTTGCATCGAGCGGCACCGCGCGAGCGCTCGGCCACATCACGCCGCCCCTCCCTTTACGCATCATTCGAGACCGTCGTGTATACATCCCGAGCTACAACAAACCCCATATACGGCTTCTTCATAAACTATTTGTGCCGGGAGTATTTACAGCAAAGTTACACAAAAAGGAGGGGAGGGACATGAAAAAAAAGACTAAAACTGGACGTCCAGTTTTCACGGGAGAAGACGAAACAATTTGAGAACGAGCCAAGTTGTGGAGGCTTTGGCTAAGCCGTGGATTTTATTAACTTGTAGCGGGAGACTGGCCAGGATGCTCAGGTTAGCACCTATGCCCCCGATGGAACCGAGCCATGGGCCACACACAATTCCTCTGTTTAAGGACCCCGACTGGAACAAACCACAGCGATCCGCGATCCAAGTCCAATGCTCCTCTGTGAATGCAAAGGAAACTCATCACAACTGGAGAATACGGTTCAGGCTGGGAAACAAAATAGAATAAGCGACACAGGAAGGTGAGCTGCTGTTCACAAACAGCTGTTCACAAAGAGCAGCTCGGCACAACTCCCATTCATGCCTTGCATGCATGTAATGTGACCACCACATTTGCATGTACAATGCTCAGCCACCAGCTCAACAAGAGCTGATGTCCGTGGCCTTTCTGGAATGGCCACATTCTCACTCTTCTTGAGTTGGTAGCCTAAATAAGAATACAATTAATAATACGTCACATGTTTGATATAAAATACGGTAGTATTAAAAAATATGATTGCTTTTTTTTTTCTGATGGAGTTCATGCGTTGTGGATTGTTTTTAGGCGGCGGCAAGCATCATGGGAAATTGCCACAATTCCTTTTCATGCCTCACCAGGGCACATGCATGCGTAATTTGCATGCCGCTCATGTCTCCTCTGGTCACCAGCCTAAGAGGCTGAAAGTGTTTCCATTTGAAATGTCACAGCGGCAAGATAGCGGCACGCCTCCACCCCCATCAACACATTGATTAGAAGTTTTAATTTATTATTGCCGATCAACCGTATTGGACAGGGGGTCGGCAACCAAAATAGCAAGAGGAGCCATTTTTTTTGGAGTAATTCGTTAAAAACAAAGAGATGCACGCTAATGCGAGACGGCGATGCTTCTCGATCAACAACGGCGTCACGAAGCAGCAGTCCTTAGAGGGCCGCACGCGGCTACGGAGCCGCAGGTTGCCGACCCCCTTTGTGTGTCGGAGAAGCGAACGCCCGTTGTCGACGGGCACATCAGGGGCGCCGGCTCGTCTTTTGTTTGTGCCCCCTTGCTGCGGCAAAGCCAACCGGCACCGTTCTCTCTCGCCTGCAGGCTTCGTGCTGGTGATCGGTCTGGCCACGTTCTTCCGCGTGGGGCCCTACACGCAGCTGGCATGGTCCTGCTACGTGGAGGTGGTGGCGTGCCTCCTGGCCACCGCCGCCGCCGCCATGATCATCTGGGACGTCATGCAGCTTCCCGACGAATGCCTGCCTCCGCGTCAGAACATCATCATCCGCCACCCGCTGCCATCGCCCTGCCCGCCCAGGCCCAACTTCCAGAACGAGTATGTGGAGACTCCCTGCTAGTCCCCGCTAGCCCCGCTGGCCCCCTTGCGAAGGGTCTCGGTAAGGAGAGGGGGTTGCCACCTCTTGAGGTACACACGCAAAAAAACCTGGACATATCATGGGAAGAGGAATATTTCGCAACAACGGAAGAGGGGAGAGCTACGCGACAAACACATTGTCTTGAGCGCTGAATTATCCCGCGGTGGACAAAAGCCGGGACTTTTCATGCTACCGGGGAAGACTTGCAGCATTCCCAGGACGGTTACCTCGACAAGAAGACGATCCTGGAAAAACAACAGGACAGGTGGCAACCCTTGGTCTCGGGCCGGAGGTGTTTTACATCAGAAGGGCAGAAACATTACCCCTGCCCCCCTCCCCCCCCCCGGCCGCTCCCACCTCCCCCCCCCCCCCCGCCGCCACTGTCGCCGACTCCACTGCTTCCACAGCTCCCGCGACGACGAGGGATTAGAGGTGCCAAGTTTTGGTCGCTCCTACCGTGGCAGGACTTGAAAGTGTTTCGGACGAGGGGGCCGCGAGGAACGAAACCGAGCGACTCGATTGGACAGACTTCTCTGCCACCTGTCGTCGGGTTGTGGAGGGGGGAGGTGGGGGGGGGAGCGCTCACGGTGTCTCACGCGAAACGTCCACTGCGTGAGTGCGGCTCGTGCGGGAGCAATCTCACCGCGGGCTCGCCGTCCTGAGAGGCGCGCGTGCCCTCCGTGTATGCAATTATTTATGGTATAAAACACGCGCACGAGCGCACACACACGCGCACACACGCGCACACACGCGTCTGTTTGCCTTCAGAGGGCGCCGTGTCCCACCGTTGAAAGTAAAGAACGCCGTCGTTCTTTTCCTTTGGCGATCGATTAGCACGGCTAGCTACGTATGGTGCGGGAGAGGTTCAACGTACAACAACTTAATGAATCTGTCGAGATTTCACTAGACGCGGTCATTGGCTCATCCATTCTACCAAAGTTGCTGGTCACAGTCGGAAAGCAAATTCACTTGTGTTTTCTTCAATGATTATACCAAATAGGTCGTATTGGCGGTACACAGGTGCAGCATTACACACCGGCCCCCATAAAACAGTTTAAAATCTACATTTGCACCGACATTCAGTCTTGCGACTGCTTCGACATGACGAGAACTGATTTTGACGCACGACCCCGCAAGACTTTGGGAACGGGCTTTGCGAATCGCGGGTAAAATAAATAATTATTGCGCAAAAAATGTGCTTTTTTTTTTACATATATATACCACCCGTCACCGGTGTTCCGCCAATACGTTCAAACGTCAGCCCTTTGCTGGATGATGGCCTCCCCGTGCCACGTCCATCACGGGGCTGGCTTGCTTGCTTTGTCGTCGTCACTTTCACCACGACGATCGATGTCACGCCGCCGGGGTGGGCAAGCGGTGGGGACGAGCTCGGGACGGTTTCGGTATCCCTCGCCACTGACGTCATGTCCCTGGCCGGGATTCGAACTCGGGTCGACGGGCGCGCGGACCGTGATGCAAACCGCGAAGCCGCCGCTTAAATTGAAGCTGGGCGGCAATGGGTTCTCAACTTTAAAGGAGAGGTGGTTGTGGTTGTTGTTGTTGTTGTTTAACTCGTGGAGTAAACTCACTGGGAAAACAGTTCTCCGATAGCCTTCGTACAATTAGATGAAGCTGCGATCTTAATTGGAAATGCGTTGACAAAGATCTCCAGGCGATGGGGCAGAGAAGTGCAGTGTCCGTGGTGCTGCGATTGTGCTTGTACTTCGAACCCTCGAGTTTTGCTGCACCTGTACACCGAGCACATCCGTACGACGAACCGAACAAACAAAAAAACCGCAACTAATATTGTGTTAAACAACTAATATTGCCAACGGATTTTCGTTACCTTTGTACCAAACTTGGTCTTAATGAAAACGAATGAAAACTCGGAAGCTCGTGGCAGTTCAACTTTTCTTGAGCGAGGGAGGTGGTTGGCAGGGGGAGGGGGGAGGTCAAATGACGGCCCTTGCTGTTGGCGAACAATGGACTATGGATTACGGAAGTTTGGAGAAGCAACTTTTATACCCACGGGACTTGCCAGACAACAACCACAGCCCCCCCCTTACCCACCTCCGCCTTACCCCCCCCGCCACCCCACGAAGAGTTTGTCGAACGCACAGAGAATTATACGAGATGAGGTATCGTACGAGATGCCATGTAACCGTCAGGCACCGAATGAAACGGTGCTGATGGCACGGTGATGCTATGGCCCCGGCCGGTTTTTCGCGCAACTGTTCAAACGGCGAGACCCGTCCCGAGGATTCTGCCGCGCCTGTTGTGCGCGCATATCCCTGTGCATCTTCGTGAACGATAACAAAAAAAAACCATTGCTTTTAACCACGTAAGGTCCACTGAGCGATACGGCTCTCTTTCAGAAATGGTAGCCAAATGAAGTGCTGTCCTTCCTCCGCACCTCAGATTCGTACGGTTGGCTACGTGCGGTTGTCCACGTATGATTAGTGAGAAAGAACATACGCACATATGCATACATACAAGTGGCTTATCATGTGGAACGTCAATTCTGCACGAAGGTGCAATTTTAAATGGGCGTGCATGCAGCCAGATTTCCAGACACTTTCTGCAACGGGGGCGGACACTTTAGTTGAATAAACTCCAGCTCCGGAAATAAAAATATCGGGTTGACGTATCATGCAACGTATGGGTAGCACTTACCACGATGCAGCGGTAAGTGCTGCCCCTTTTACCCCGTGTCGACCAACCAGAGGTGGCTTGAAGGGATCTCAGGGAGTAACCCCGTGATATCTGCTTCCGTGGGCTGGGGTCACACTGCTCTGGGAAAGATCCGAAAGGATACTTTGACTTATGACGGAACCGCCAACAGCACAATCGGGATAACATTGGGTGGGGGGGGGGGGAGTGTGGAAGGGAAATGACAACAACAACATCAATACAGGGGCTGAGTGAGAGTTCAAAAGTTCATAAAATTGTTTGTCTTACGGTGTTAAAAGGCACACTGCAATTGTGACCTGTGTGTGTATGTTGAACTTATTTCGCACCGTACGTAGCTAACCACGCTAATTGGAGGTGCGGGCGAAGGACAACAAACTGAACACAAAAAAAGCAGTTCTGAAGAAATTAGTTTTCAATCAATTATTAAAAAAAAAAATAATGCATAGCCTCCAGTAGCTTCCTAACATCGGAAGGAAGAGCGTTCCAGACGGCTACAGAAGCGCGCCTGAAAAAGCGCGCGATGTGGCGACCGAATTTTCGGCAAAGCAGAAAGCGAATGCGCGAGATGCACAGCGGCGCACAGACACCACAGAGTGGACGGTTGAGAGTAGATGGATGTCGGAGCTGAAATCTGAGAATCACAATTAGGCGACATTCATTTGAGGAGCTGAACAGCCACTCCATCTTTTTACCGTCAGTCGAAAACAATCATTACCCCCCCCCTCCCACCACACCGTGTCCACTCTGAGCTTTGAGCTACTGATTGAAGGAAACAATGTACCTTCACTTTGCACAAGGATGAGGTGAAGTTAAGGTGTTCACACTTTATTTATTAACGTTATTTTAAAGGCTACCTAACATTCAATAGTATTGCTATCTCGCACTCGACGTATGTTGCCCACCTACAGCAGAGTTGGACTCGTCTCCGGTTCAGTATCCTGCGGGGAACGAGCAGCCGACAGATGCGGGCGGTTAGCAAACTTTGTAAAAATGGCAAAAAAGAACCCGTGTATTATAGTATTTAAATCGGTGGGCTGTTATAATCGTTGGACTGTTAATGTAGCGATCGCTTAAAACGTTCAGCCATTGGGCAATAAGCAGTTGTGAGAATGGCATATCAAGGGGTTAACAAAGACGAATAAGACAAAGACCCCCCCGGTATAGCCTTAACAGGCTGTTGGGGGCAAGTGCTGTTAGCGAGCACCTATGAAGGCATAGACTCATTCAATGTCACCCGCAAGCGCAAGGAGCTATATTGCGACTGGTAGACAAGTAACGACGCATCGCTTCAGAAATATAAATTCGTACCCTCAAATCAATGACTTAAGGACAAAATGCAGAAGTCACGCGAATTTGCGTTTTGCGATACTGCGTTGGCAGTGGCGCAAATGGCAAAGACGTGACACGTTCGTCAAAAACAGTGCCTTCAAATCAAAAGTATGTGATCGGTGACAGTTTTGGAAAAATGGGGCCTATGAAGGAGGGCCTATTATATATTCGTTTCCTTCTAGGGCCACGCAGCGCTACTGACGGATGTGTTGAGATGTTGCAAAACGTTACAGTTAGGGTAATGGGGCCAAGGACAGAAAGCATGACGAGACAGCACAACACGAGAGCACGGACGAGATGGTTAAAATAAAAAAAACGGCAAATGATGTTGAATCAATTCGTGATCCTGTATCGTTAGGAGTAAGGGGCGGGAGCGAGGGGTGCGGTGGATCGTGACGCGACTGTTGATTATTAAACAACAACCGAGGCTTCGCGATCAAATCAACGGTAGCTTGATATGTTTCCAAATCGTTTCGCAACCTTCGCAGAGCAGCACATACGCAGTGTGCTCGGGGATGGCCGCGCGGAAGAAGACATCCAAGAACTACTGCCATTTTTTAATACACCACAATGGCTGCTGAGTGACCGTTTGAAAGGTCAGAGCTGGAATGCAGTCAAATTAGGGTGAAAATTTTAATGCAATTTGATTTTAGTGTGCTATCATTGGTGACCGGGCTGAGAACGTCCATTCGCTGCACTTGAGAAATCCGGTTGAATCACAAGTGGCTGAAATCCGGATTTGAACCGAGGGTCTTCGCAGTTGCGTCTCATTTCATTGCTTTGGCCTCTGAGCCACCCGGCCACTCAAGTGTCCAAAAACGTAGAATATTCTGATAAAACTCACACAACTTGTCTTTTTTAAGAAGAAAAAAACCACACACCATGAAAAGGATGACCATTCTAAATGCATACCATGTAACGAAGAGTTATTGTTTCCAATTTTGCAGACAGATATTCCGCTATAACTATTAACTAAATTTGCACGGCCAAAACCACAATGTGCGTTGGGGGGCTTTTAGACTTGGTACACAATTATTTTGCCTACTACCCCGGAAAGCCATGAAAGTTGTTCTAAGCAAAAGTGCAGCCCTGCGATAGTTTCCTAACACCACTGCTGGCAGAAAGGGCCTTGACTAAAGGGAGCCCTAAATTGGCCCTGTAGATGGCATTCGACCTAATCTTCCAGACTGTCAAAGTGATTCTACTGTGTAGTTTGTGTTTTTCATTCTTAGGCCCCAGTCAATGGATGTATAACACTGCGACGTAGAAATAATGGCCAGAGCCGACCGGTTGATTAGGCCAATGGGAGAAGCGGCCATGCCACTGGGCCAGTTCGTGTGCAGTCGTTGATTGGCTCAATGGTCACAGCCGTGAGACAATAATCTGTGGGACATTCTGAGCGCTGTAAAGGTGGGGAATTTGAGAGGCCTGTGACACGACTCTCAAGAGCAGCCCACTGTGTGCTCGTGTCATCATCCAAATCCCAACATACACATTTTTCCCAAAGCTAAATTACAAAGCAATAATATTTATTATAACAATTAAAGAAATATTAACGGTCACTGCATTGTACGTTGTGCCCATGTCTCTCTCCCTTGCCAAAAAAAAAGGGATATTGTATGTGAACGGGTGCTCGTACGGTTATAAATAAAACGTGAGTGATTGACGTAAACCAGTGACGTGCATTTTTTCAGGGTGACGCCGAAAAATGTTACACGGCGGTGACTTACGTTCTAAAATCCTGACTCAGACGCATCCTGTCTGGAGTCATCCGCTCGCAGACAGCTTTTCGAAGATACGTGCGTGTGTGTGTGTGTTTTTTTAAATGTCACATCAAGTGATGAGCGTGCCAGCTTCTTACACTTACAACATGAAAACGAGTCGAGGTGGTTTCCTGCTCGAATGAACATTGAGGCCGGTGCTCATTTCCTGTTTACAGCCCTGAGCCAGCGGTGGAGATTCACCAGTTATGTGGCGGGGACAAGGATATCTACAGGACAGCCACTGTTGACTTCCCCATAAAAGTGGAAAACGTCTCATCGACATCCGGTTGAATGTTAGGGGCCGTCCATAAATGACGTCACGCGATTTTGGACGATTTTTGAGCCCCCCCCCCTTCGTCACACGGCGTCACAGTCAAACCCCCCATCAAATATGATGTCACAAAGCTCTGCCCCCCCCCCCCACAAAATAAAACATGCTTCAAATCGCTTTAAACTATTGTCATTGTAGTGCGTATTTAATGTGGCGCTGCACTCTGATGTTGTAGGAGAAAACATTTATTAAAAAGTCTATTTAATTAAGTAGAACGTGTTGTCTATATTTATTTAAAGTTGCGCATTTTGCTGTGACGTCACATCTCTCAAACCCCCATCCCACACCACGTCACACATCGTCACAAATGTCTGACCCCCCCCCCCCCAGGTGCGTGACGTCATTTATGGAGAGCCTCTTAGGCCGCGTTACCTCCCCTCCCCTCCCCAACCAGGAGTTTAACTCGTAAAATTTCGATTGTGAGTCGCTTGCTCGACAAACAAACTGCAATGCCTGTTATATATATTTTGTTTTTATTCCAAATAATGTTTATGACGAATCAAATTTAATTATATCGAGCTTAATCAAGCTCACGCTGCTATTAACTCTATTTTATTTCACCAGGTAAGGCACACTGAGGTATATAGCTCTTTTTCAGAAGTGACCTGGCCACAAATGGTAGCCCAACGAGGTGATTTAACGCGTGTAAATTTATAGCAGCTAAATATTCCGAACTTACCTTTCTAAATGTGGAGGGAAAAATCAGAGGACTACCGGAGAAAAATCCACGCGACCACGGGTAGAGAAACATGCAAACTCCAAATATACAGCAGCAGCAGCAGGCGTCAGGGTCGGGATCGAACCCACGACCTGCTGTGTACCAGGCGAGGTAGTCAACATCTCCTAGTCACCGCGATGATGATGAGAGAGAGAGAGACACCGCAAACTCCAAATATACAGCAGCAGCAGCAGGCGTCAGGGTCGGGATCGAACCCACGACCTCCTGTGTACCAGGCGAGGTAGTCAACATCTCCTAACCACCGCGGCGCCACTTACACGCGTCAAATTGTGCGTATGTAGATATTGACAATTATTCTTAGCCATCAGCCATCGTCCATTATTGCAGTGACGCATCCTGCCCAAGCTCCACTGACTTTTTCTAAAACAGTTACAATGACTCTCCATTTGCACGTTCATTACACAATTGGAACTGCTGTATTAATGAAAGTATATTGTAGTAAACAACAATAATTAACAATGTTGTGTCAATCCACTGCTGGATGAAGAACTTCACGGATCTTTTGGTGCCACGGGTGGGGTGGGGGTGGGGGGGGGGGGGGGGTGTTTAGCCATACTTCACTACGCTGGTTAGTGCAGAGTTGAACCGATAATGCTCCACATAACCGGTTCAGATTTTCCTCGCCACTGATGTTAGCCGTGACGGAGAGATCTCAAATCGGCCGCCGGGTTCATGGTGACGCAGTGCGCCACCCGCTCAACTCCCCGGGAATTCGCATTGTTAATACGAACTAACAAACGAGGTAACCAACACGACTGGTCACCAACTTGTTTCCTGCCAGGTGCTTTGTTGTGTAACCACAAGGAATGTTGATCAACGATGCAATCCCCCGCCACCCAAACCGTTTGGAAATAATTGCTTACGGGGCTGGACAGCCGCGACATCATGTTTACATTTCACCATACGACGGTCATATTGTAATAAACAAAATAACAACCCGTACTCTTTGGGTTCTTTCGGTAAAGTCACGTAGGTAGAAATAAAATGAAACAAATCACGACTTTTCGATCGCAACACAAGCGACCTTCATCAGGTGGAACAGCCACAGCATAAGAATGCTGCTCCGCCCCCCCTCTCTCTCTCCCCCCTTGCCCCTCCCCCCTCTCTGACCTATATAACCTCTTGCCACGGCAGCTCTCTCGCCCACTTCAGCGTGTTTCTTGCTGCGGTTGTTCCACCTGATGAAGATTTGCTTGCGTTGCGATCGAAACGTCGTGATTTGTTTTAATTTTATTTCTACCCAAGTGACTTTGCCGAATGAACCAAAGAGTACGGATTCCTGCAGTTTCGAAAGCTTCAAATCAAGATTAAAATGACAACCCATAATGGAATAACAGTACACGTTGGGGAAACCCGTCATTTTTTTTTAACGAGAGCTAAGAACACGTGCTAAAAGTACACATTGCTGCCGGCCCTTTTGCAAGGTGCCATAAAACAAAAACCCATGCGCATTATCTAGAGAAGTACCATTGTGGCCCTCTTGCCTTAAGGCAGGGGTGGGGAACGTCCGGCCCGCGAAATAATTTGGTGTGGCCCTGCCAAGGCAACCGCAGGCGGGACTCGAAATTCAATAAATCTAGGAGCAAACCTGGAAAAGCAGTTGCGAGTAGCAACATCGTCGATACCAGCTAACATCATCACCACGCCTCGCCAAAGAGAAGCAGTTCCAGCCCATCGCATTAGGGGGTGAGTTAATAAAATGTTTGACCAAATATAACAGGCTAATTTTTTTTAGTTGATAATTTTGTATGGCTCGCGAATGATGTTATAAATATCCAAATGGCCCTTGGCAGAAAAAAAAGGTTCCCCACCCCTGCCTTGAGGGCAAAATCACGGCACACTCTGAGTCAGTGTGACCGACCGACAGCAGCTGTGACGCACTGATGGACAACTCTGCGGGCAGTTTTCGTCATTCGGACGATTCTGTGCTGATGAGTCCTAATGGAGGTGAAACCAGTCCACACGGGGGGGGGGGGAGGTTTCACTGCATCGCTGCTACGGTGAGTCGGTCACAACCGTTGAGATTTATTTCGATGGTTACCTTAAACAAGAGAGCTAGGGTGCGAGTCTTTAGGAACAGCTGATGGGATTTGTTGTTGTTGTTGAAAAATGCACAACGGCCGTGTGGTTTTAACACTTTCTTTTGGTGAGTGGCCTTAACTTTGGAGTTGTTCTTCGCGTTTTCGTCGTCGTTTTTGCGTTTGTGCTCTGATGAAGTTCAAACGCAAAAACATTGGGTTCGCTATTCAACTGTACTTCACTCAACTCAACACAGAGCTTGCCACGTGTCTTCTAACCACTATACAGGGCGCCACGGTGGCGAGATATAAACTGCCTCGCCTGGTATCCAGGAGGACGTGGGTTCGACCCCGACTCTGACGTCTGCTGCTGTATATCTGGAGTTTGCGTGCTCTTCCCGTGGTTGCGTGGATTTTTGTCCGGGTGCTCCGGGTTTTCACCTCCACATTTAGAAACGTGCGTTTAGAGTGTCTGGCTGCAAATAAAACGTCCACGTGATAAGCCACTTGGTTGAGCTATCATTTGTGCAAGCCAGGTCGTTAATCCAAAAAAATAGATGAATATCTCAGTGGGCCTTACCTGGTACATTTATATAAAAGGGAAATTTGTGAATATGTGTGTCTGTTCAAAATGTTTAGCATACTTCCCGACATGTATTAAATTTGAAATTTGGAATGTGGGTAGTTTCCAGACTGTACACAATGCAAAAAAAATAAAAATAGATTTTTGTATTTTTTTTGGGGGGGGGCGCAATAATGGATATATTTTGCACGCCAAGTGAGCGGTCACGTCACATCTGTGATGTCACCCGCATGCGGCAGCGTCACGCAGTGTGCCTGCTGACGTCACGCACCCCCCCGCCCCACCCTCCGCGTAGGCCGTGTATTAATCCAAGACAAGAATCCAAGTCTCCGGGCGAAGCCGGGTAGTGACGCTAGTAAATAAATACAACTGTAACTTTACGGTACTGTCAACAAATGCTCAAAACGCACACGCTGTCGTCCAGTGATGACGTCCTGTCATCGACGCAACATCAATTGCTCAAGAAATCGTGTTACAACACTCATTGAACGTACTCTTTGGTTCTATTCGGTAAAGTCACGTAGGTAAAAAAATAAAACAAAAATAATCCCGACGTTTCGGCCACAACACAAGTGGCCTTCATCAGGTGAAGGAACCAAACTGTCCAGAGGACCTCCAACGCTGTCCTCTGAACAGTTTGGTCCCTTCACCTGATGAAGGCCGCTTGTGTTGTGGCCGAAACGTCGTGATTTTTTGTTTGTTTTATTTTTTACCTACGTGACTTTAACGAATAGAACCAAAGAGTATGGATCCTTGCAGTCACGAAAGCTTCAAATCTAGAACTCATTGAACGGATAATACAGTTGTACGGTTTTGTTTTTTTACAATTGTGGACTTATATTTTGTGTAATTTCGTGAATACTTTGTGGGGAAATGAAGGCTAACATTTTTTTTTTTTAAATGAAAGCAACAACAATCACAACGCGACGATATTATTTCTGCCGCCATTCATTGCGGGTCTTATCGTGCGATATATCGTAAGCGTCGCGTCTGCTCCAGTGGCCCGGTTGCACAACGCCTGAAGTGACATTCCCCCCCCCCAACCCACCCCACCCCGTCTCTTAATCTATAAACTTACTTCGGAAACTAAAACGTTCGCTAAAGTTGTTTTATACGCAACCAACTCCGGACCTCTAAACCAAGCGTCAACCAGCAGCGTCCCGTTATACGCCCTGGCAATGGTTTCCCATCGTGCGGTCCAAGCCCAAAATATCATCGAATTCCAGCCCAAAAAACAA